AAGAAAAGCTAGGTTATATACTGAAGTTATTCTACTGATACAAATATTGAAAACGGAACATACTGTAAAATCAAGGTGAGTCTTTAGAATTAGACTTAATCCTGAAATGTGTAAAGCTGCTGACATCAAAGTATCCTCAATTTTATTGCCACATCTGTGTGCGTGCTGTAATCCCAAAAAAAAAAGATGTATCAGCATCTACCAACATCTTTAAGAAACTTTCCGAAGAGTTTTACAAATAATTTCAAGAACAATAGGGCAATTGGTTTTGGAAGTAATGGTCTTGTTTCAAGGGAATTCAAGGTGAGTCTTTCCAATTGTCTTTTTGATCTTGAAAATCTGTTCATGTCATTTTCACTGCTCTCAAGTTCAGCTCAACTCAGTTTGCTTGTACTGAACTGATTACCTCAATTAAGCAAACAAGAAGTGTAAGTAATTTTTATATTACTTGGTTTTTTTACTGTATTGGTAAACAGTAAGTAACGTAAAAGTACATAGCCCCACATTTACATGCCCCAACTGAAACTCTGGTACAAAACAAAGTAAAAATTTGCGCTTTCTGCAATTTCAGTCACTATTTGCCAGTCACAGTACTGCAAAGCTCATTAATTTCTGCAGACATTGAGCTCTGGGAGGTGGAATGCTTAAAGGAGCGGTATCATTCCACTCTTTAGAGTGATAAAACACAACACAACCCCTTCCAGTAAGCTGCCTCAAAATGACATGGTTGTTTCTGCATTACACTGTGCTGTTAAAGTCTGAAAACACAGGCATTAAGTTGTGAGATATATAAGAATAATACTTACCTTGACTTACCTTGTTTCCAACAAAAGAGAAGTGACACAAGTGCATTGTAAAAATACCTCCCAAAGCATAAAAATAGTTTAGCTTTAAACTTTAGTATAATTGTCACTAGAACTCTATTATTAACAGTTATAATCTTATACCCTGTATTAAGATAATACTCTGATAAATACTCTTGAGTTTACAGTTACATTTCTTTAAGAATATTTTTTTTAGATGGATTTCAAGTCACCTGTCTTCAATGCCTTTGCTCTCAGTTGTCCATCCAAGTAGAGGGTCACTGCCACTCTTAGGCAGCCACAATCCTTAGCCAAAGTAATCCATAAGAGAATATAAAGCCACTGAAATCACATTAATTACAATTTTTTAAACAGGTATTAATAGACTGGCTTCTTCAGGTCATCACTGGAAGTCTGTGATGACTTGGTTTCGAAGACCACTAATATGACGTACCTATGATGATTTAAGGGTGTAGTGTAAATAAAGCCTCTTAAGTGATTTTTGGAGACAGTTAGCATTGGTCCATTGATCCTTCAATTTTTTAAAAAGAATACCAGTTTACATGGTATTAATAACATGACTTAAAATATTGATATGATATAAAAGCTTTAAATATTTTTGCGTGATGAATATTGAGGCAATGGCTAGATTACAACGTGAAACAATGCCTTAAACTATCACCTGTTCAATCCGCCATAGGTTTTTAAAAGGATTTTAAGCCTTTTCTTCTATTCTAGTGGCAGCAAACTTTTAGCTAACATATTTTAACATTACATATTTTACTTTCTTTTTTAGAAAAGCTATAGGGGAAAGAAAAAGACAAAAACATTGCAGTGATATACCAGAGGACCAAAGCTTATTTTTTAATTCATTGTTGAAATTTAAAAAGTTGTATTTTTCTCCTTTTTAAAAAATATTATATAAAACAGGACCAAGAGTCACCTCAAACAAAACAAAAGGATGTACAGGTGCTACAAACAGATGTGTGGAATTGTTACGAGAGTAGTCTCTAATTTTCCATCAAAGACCAAGTACTTATCCTTCTAGATGTCAGCAAGGCCCAGAACAGCTATCCTTTTGGCTGCTGGCATTATAAATGCTCTCAGCAATGTCCAATAAATCATGCAATCAGATTCCAAAATGACACCACAATTTATTGCAACTCTTAACATTAAACTTTGTAACGACTGCTTAACCTGTTTGGTTTTTCCTCCTCCATTAATTCCTCCTCATCTCATCTTTCAGCCTCTTCCCGTTTCCCTCATTTCTCCTAGTCCTTTTGACTTCCCTCATTAACTCTTTTACCATTAAGTTAACATCTTATTTCTTCTAATGAATCTCATTATTCTCTTTTCTCCCCTATCCATTCAGTTCCCCTCCTTGGTCTCACTCTTAGCACTTCACAGGCAGCACAAGAAAGAGGGCAAAAAGGGATCTTTCTCTACAGAAACCAGAGTTTTATAACACAGGCAAGCAGGAGTCTTTTAAAACTTGTTATCCCTTGGCTTTACGGCATCAGTCACCTAAGCAAATCCCAAAGGGGAACCCCCTATGCCTGTTTCCTGCCAGCTCCTGAAGTGAGTTGCGTCTTGCCAGCACGGTCATTATTTCCATGAATCTTGGACAATTCTGCCTGCACAGTGGCAGTGCTCAGTAACGCAAATAACGGCGCCTCCATCCAAATTAGTCTGCAGCCTGGGAGTCAGAATATTTCTCTGGGAGATGGGAGTTGTGAGTTTATCCTCATAGGCTGACACTAAGTTGACACTTAATGTCTCCACAAATGTCTCTTGCTAGAAGAATGCCTGAAGCTCAAACAGTGATTGAGCTACTGAGTCCTGAAGGTACATCATCCTGCCTGAGCATAAGAAATGGTTTCCAAATCAGAACTGACTTTCCACAGAGAGGCCTATCTCAAGGGGTGCAGATGAGCACCTAAACCCAGGTGAGAGGCAGAATATTAGATCTAATCTTCATCTAGCCATTTTCAGTGTTCCCTGTCAGGCGTTACAGCTATTCTAAATCCCTTTTTCAAGAACTTTACTTTCTTCATTCACTGAATAGAGAACGTAGATGATTGGAAAATCCACACTAAAAGCCTGCGGAAAACATGTGAGCACCGTGAATTTATATTTAGTACCAACCTGAATATTTAGGGAATGGCTCAAGCGTATCCAGACTATTTAAAAAATGCATGGCAACACGTATCATTTGCCACAGCTGCAACTTATCACCTAGCAAATTTCTCAATTGCTGAGCAAACGCAAAGTTAAAAAAAGCCTTAGAACAAAACTCGTCTGTTGCCTATATACAGATTGCAATTTCTTAATGGCAAATAGTCATGCCAGAAAGTACTAAAACTGTAAAATACTTACCTTACTAAAAATATTCAATTTAGTCCATTTTCTGCAACACTAAATATGATTCACCATGTCACCATCTGTTATCAGGTACTGATGCTCGCCTTCTAAAAAAACCTCAATTACAGCCAACCTATGCCTGATCTTAACTAAGAATTTGTAACCCAGAATTACAAGGAACTGCCACGTACTCTCAGTTCAGTTGAAATTGATAGGGTTGGAAGCACTCAGCACCTTGCAAGATTAGCCCTTAGAAAGTGAAGACTAGTTCCAACAACATTCGTTTATACTGCAAGCCGTGGGGTACTGTTTTGATCTCTGACCTAACTCTAAATGAGAGGCTGAGAAAGGGGGGAAATTAGCACATGCAGAGTTTCATGCTGCTGCAACTACGCTACTTCCTGTACCCAAGGAAACTCATTTAGTGTTTGCTCAGCTATTGCTGCTCTACTAACTGTGTTTAACCCCACAGAGGTAATTAGATTTGGGTGTCTGCAGTTGTTCCCTTCAGAAGATTGGGACCAGGGGTTAATGCAATGTTCACTCAGTCTTCCTAAACCAAAGCACTCTTTAATCTTAAGGAACTAAACATAAAAGAAAGTGACATTTACGATAATTAGTGAGTGTATGCACTTGTCTCATCTAACTCTTACCAAAAGCATCCCAAGCTTGCATATGACAGCAAAACTTTCAGACTCCCTATGGGTGTCGTCTTTAGTCATTTTCCCACAGTCCCCTGTCCAGTGCCCCTGTGGTTAAGAAAAAGGTTTTGGTTTTTTAGCTGTTTATAGGACACCTTTTATGGCTGTTTCTCTTCTGGTAAAACAGTTGTGTAACCTGGCAGGATCCAAAGTAGGTGTTGCTTTGCTTTGTTTTGTTTTGAACAATATTGCAAGCATTGTATTTAACATGAAACTCATACAAGGGAGTACGTTGTGTGGGGTTTTTATTTTTTCTTTAGCTGCCAGGAAACCCAGCCAAACCTATGCGTACAGTATTCGTCCCATTGACCATATCACTTGGTAGCTATCCAGATAATTTGTTTGCAAGCCGTGTTCACAATTACTACAAGTCGACCCATTCCCCAGTTTCCCCATTATCTTAACCCTGAGGTACTTTTGTCAGCCAGCAGTATCCACAATGCAGAATTCACTATGAAAACCTAAATAATACCATAGTCTAAGCTAGTAAAAAATTGCAGTCTTTGCTATATCTAAAAGAGACTAGAATAAATACAAAATCCTTAGGCAAAAAGACTGTGGATTCATAAATGAAAACAACCAACACGTTTGGGGAAACAAGTCCACTCCCTTTTAGTTATCTGAGGCACTTTGTACAGTTTGAGTACAAAATCATGCTTATCAAATTTCAAGTAGATGTCTTTTCTTTTAAAACCATCTTCCAACTTCACAAGACTGTTCAGTAGATGAACAGCTTCAGCCATCCAATACTGAGACTGCTGGCTGGCTGTGACATAGGAAATGACTGAAATGAAGGAAGTGCCAATGAAAGAAAACCTGAAACCCCTCAAAGAGATATACAGCAAGTGCAAAAGAAACTATGCAATGTTTTCAATAAAAAGATTACTCAGAGATTAATTACACTTTTGGCGGGGGGGAGGTGCCGGGGGGAAATGGTAGAGGAGTTAATGAAAAGAAAATCAAGAAATAGCTGAGGGAAAAGGACTAAGAATGCTTTTTCTGGGAAGAGAGGAAATAGTTAAGTATATCAATTTTTTTTATGGACATCATGTCAGCATTCTGGCTTCTTATTAGAAAAATAATGTCTAAGAATATCAACATTTAATATTGAAGATCAAGTCTTCATTGCAGAAATTGTCAATTCAGTTAGACCTTGCTTTTGCAAATCACATCTAAGCTTTCAGCATGAGTAGTCCCATTGACGCAAGCA